CATTGATTTTTATTAATTTTTTTAACATAAAAGACATAACAAATTAAACTCTTTCAACATTCATTGATAGCATTCATTGATAACCCAAGCAGATCAGGCGTGAGACGATAAGAATATTCTTATCAGCGCGAAGTGCAATCAATTTTCTTATACACTGAAAAAATTTTAAATTGAATAATAAAGAACAAGCAGCTGAAAGCGGCAAAAGAGAGCGGGAAAACATATATGTTAGTTTTTTTATTAGGTCAGTTAACTTAGACCAAGCTCTGAGACCATGAAAGCTATAAGTCTATGAATACATTAAATATTAAATAAATAAAAAAAAAAAAGAATTACAATATATTTTAATTTAATTTTTAATAGCATTATATTCAACAAAAAATGTTTAGATATTCCATGTAATGAAGCATGTATTCACACAGTATTCAATCTCCAACTTATTGAATATTAAATATTCATCAAATTCTTGCAGCACCTACATATAAATGAATTTCCCTTGGTGCTACCGCACACTGTGGCTGGCCTGCGTGCTCCTGCAGGCGAATGGGCAGCAGGCGGCTGGCAAGACGTCGTCGCCATGTGGCGCCCTGGAGCTGTGCGTCACGGAGCAGCGCTGCAACGAGTCGGACGATTCGGGCCACGGCATAATCGGGCCACGCATGGCGCGCACCTGTGGCGAGGGGCTCGTCTGCTGTGACCAGGAGCAGCTCGAGAGCTGGGATGCCATGCAGGTGACGGCAAAGGCAGCAGCAACAGCAACGGCAACAGCAGCAACAACAACACGGGGAGCCAGCAGAACGATGACGGAGGAGGAGAGCATGTACGAGTCCTGCGGCGTGAATATGGAGTGTGTGCCACGCAAGCTGTGCCGCGACAACAAAATCATCGACGATGGTCGCTTCATACTGAATCCGCGCATCGGCGCCACCACCTGTCCCCGAGCCCTGGAGCGCTGCTGCGCGGTGGATCAACAGGTGCGTAAGCAGTTGATGATGTTGATGATGATCATTAATTCAGATATTTATCTTTATCTGCAGGTGGAGGCCAGAGACAGTCCCTATGTTACGAAGCTGCGCGAATTCAAGTACCAGGGCTGCGGCTGGAGCAACCCGAAGGGCCTCATACCGGACGAGGATAACTACGAGTATCAGGAGGATGTGGCGCTCTTCGCCGAGTTCCCCTGGATGGTGGCACTGATGACCGGTCGCCAGCAGTACCTCTGTGGCGGCACTCTGATCCATCCCCAGTTGGTGCTCACCAGCAGCCACAACGTCAGGAACCAGACGGTGTACACGCTGCTGGCCCGCTTCGGGGAATGGGATCTGACCAGCTTCGATGAGCCGCACGAGCATCAGACGCGTCGCATCAAGCAGATTGTCATGCACGAGCAGTTCGATCCCAAAGGCTTCTTCAATGACATTGCCCTGCTGGTGCTGGAGCAGCCCGTTGAGATTCAGCCGCACGTTCAGCCGATCTGCCTGCCGCCGCCCGAGACGGACAAGCTGAAGGCGGAGCTGCGCGAGGCTGCCTGCTATGCCACCGGCTGGGGCGGCCGTCAGCCGGACAGCAAGAGCAACGAGCGGCTGCTGAAGCGCATCGAGCTGCCCGTGGTCGGCCACATGGAGTGCCAGGGACTGCTGCGCGTTACGCCGCTGGGAAAACGCTTTCGCCTGCGGAATAGTTTCCTCTGCGCTGGCGGCATCAAGGGCAAGGACACGTGCAAAGGCGACGGCGGCTCGCCGCTGTTCTGCACGATGCCTGGACAGGAGCATCGCTATCGATTGGCCGGCATCGTGTCGTGGGGCATCGACTGCGCCAGCGAAGATGTGCCAGCGGTCTA